ATTATGTGTAGAGATTGCTTGGTGCACAGAGTTCTGGTCTGACCCAACAAAGGCAGTAGGCTATTTCCAGGGATTTGTTTAGAATTAACTTCTTTTTGTTAGAGACTTGTTTATGTAATGGGATTTTCATCTGTTTAATTTCTAAGCATTAGGTAGAACTCATTCTCTAGTTACTGTTCCATCATTAGTGAGATTGATAATATCTCAGCTTTTCACCTTGTGTCCCAGCTTCCTCTCTTACAATATTTTTTTGAACAATAGGATCCAACAGTGTAGAGGAATTTATCACAAATTTGTATTTTCATCTGAAAGCATTTATTGTTGTAAAACTAGTAAATAAAGTGAACAGCATGTTATTGAAGCATGGACTTGGGAGTCAGAAGGGCCTGGAGTTAGATCTTGGAGCCAACATTCACTAACCAGGCAAGGTTCTGAATTTCTCTGAGCCTCAGTTTTCTATCTGTAAATGGGGAAAGAACTTGGCTTGAATGGTAAGGATTGTAGGAAAGACAAATATGAGGCCCCTGAGCAGCATGTCTCAAAGTGTATTCTTTGGGATTCTTAAATTGGACTTTCAATAGATACCATCTGGAGGGAAAATGTTTCTGTGTCCTATTAAGTTTCCTTTACCCGGGATTTCTTGGAGCTGTTAGTAATGTCAGTCAGCCATGTGACTGTCCTAAAGGAAGAGAAATTTGTAACATTTCCTAAATTACTGGAACCTAGTCTTCATGGAGCAAGATGCTCTAGAATGCTTTGAGAAACACCAGCCTAAGTATTATCTGGTTTGTAGTGGGCAATCAAAAAGTATTCTCCCTTCCTACTGTGAAACCAGCTTAGAAATAGAACAGGAACAAAAAAGACTTGAATTTTCTTAATTGATGTCTCACAGGCAGTGATATCTTTCTTTTTTAAACTATAGGTATTTCTTGCAACAAAATTATAGAGGCCAGGTTAACATTGTACTTGTTATGGGAACGTGTGCTTGATCATTCATTTGTTTTGGCTTGTTTTTTTTATTTGGGTGTCTATCATCTGAATCTGTTTATGAAAAGTTTGGAACCTGAACAATGTGGAAACTGAAAAAGCCAAATGCACTTGCTCTCCCAGAACCTTGACAGCTAGAGCATAGGCATGGGACCTCAGCTTGACCAATCAGATGCTCACACTTGGGACAGTGCATCTAGAGCCACTGATGCAAATACCTGAGACCATTTAGAAATCATACTGCCACCAGCAGTAGCTTCTAGGCATCCAGAGTCCGGTGTTGGCAGCATAGGCACCCCCAACTAAGCTGTGTCTGTGGGAGGTCTTTGGCTGTAGTTCCAGGATGCCTAGCTTCCTTGGTTCTGTTTTCTGAATGTGGATCTCTAAGCTTTCCTGTTGATTGCGTGAGCTATCAGTTACCCTTCCCAGTAAATCACATTTTTGCTTTAGTTAGCCAGAGTCTATTGTTTTCAACCCAGACCCTTGAATGGTACAGAATAAGTCAAAATAGCTTTAGTTAAAGTGAGATACATATTTGTGTGAAGATTTGCCAGTGACTTCATCTACATTTTTTTAAGCCAGTAAAATCGTTGTGAGTTGGTTATTTGCACAAGTTTTAGTCTGTGCTCTTGGTCTGGAGGATTTTTTTTTTATTGTTGGGTTTCAAGAGTTCTTTATATATTCTAGATAGTATGTATGGTTTGCAAATATTTTCTCCCAGTAGATTTTATAGTTTTACATTTAAGTCCATCATCCTTTTTTTTTCTTTTTTGAGATGTAATTGGCATTTAACATTATATTAGTTTCAGGTATACAACATAATGATTCCATATTTGTATATATTGTGAAATGATCACAATAAGTCTAGTTAACACCCTACACCATAGTAACAATTTTTTTTCTTGTGATAAGAACTCTTAAGGTCTGCTCTTAGCAACTTTCAAACATATAATACAGTATTAACTATAGTCATCATGCTGCACGTTATATCCTCATGACTTTGTTTTATAACTGGAAGTTTGTGCCTTTTGACTACCTTCATCTGTTTCACCCACCCCACCCCCCAGCCCCTGCCTCTGGCAAACACCAATCTGTTTCATGTATCTATAAGTTTTGTATTTTTGGTTTTTGAGGGTTTTGTTTGTTTGAGATTCCACATATAAGTGAGATCATACAGAATTTGTCTTTTCTCTGTTTGGCTTATTTCGCCTAGCATAATGCCCTCAAGGTCCATTCATGTTATCGCAGATGACAAGATTTCCTTCTTTTTTGTAAGACTGAATAATATTACATTTTATATATCTTCAATATATATAAAAACATAAAATGTGGTGTACATTTTATCTGTCTACAGCCACATTTTCTCTATTCATCCATCAGTGGACACTTAGGTTGCTTCCATGTCTTAGCTATTTTAAATAATGCTGCAGTAAACATGGGAGTGCATATATCTTTTCAAGTTAGTTTTTTTCATTACCTTTGGATAAATATCCAGAAGTGGAATTGATGGATCATATATTTAATCTTTTGAGGAACCTCCTTACTGTTTTCCATAGTGGCTGCACCAATTTACATTCCCACCAGCAGTGCACAAGAGTTCCCTTTTCTGCACATCCTTGCCACATGATCCATTTTGAGTTAATTTTTATATAAAATATGAGACTGAGGTCAGAGTTCATCTTTTTGCCTATAGATGTCTACTTGGTCTGGCACCATTTGTTGATAAAAATATCATTTGATTGTCTTGCTTTTTCGCCTTTGTCAAAAATCAGTTGGGCATATTTGTGTGGGTCTATTTCTTGGTTCTCTATTCTGGTCCATTGGCATATGTGTCTATCCCTCCTCTATTACTGTGTATACAGTCTTGACTACTGTAGCTCTGTGTGTGTGTGTGTGTGTCTTAAAATTGGATAGAATGATTCCCTCTCCTTTTTCAAAATTGTTTGAGCTATTGTAGTTCCATTGTCTTTAATATGAGTCTTCTTAGTCCATGAACATAGTGTATCACTTCATATTTTTAGGTCTTGATTTTCTAAATCAACATATTGTGGTTTTTAGCATACAAGGCCTGTACATGCTTTGTTATTTTTACGCCTAAGTATTTCAATTTTTTTTTGAGCAATTATGAGCGGTGTTGTAAAGTTTTGAGTCCACATGTCCATTGCCAGTATACAGAAATATGATTGATCTGTGTACGTTTACCTTGTATCCTACAACTTTGCTGAGATCACTTGTTAGTTCTGGAGAGTTTTTTGTAGACTCCTTGGGATTTTATACTTAGATAATCCTTTGTTACCTGCAAATAAGGACAGTTTTATTTCTTTCTGATTTGTATACCTGTTACTTCCCTTTTTTTACCTTATTTCAGTGGCTAGAACTTCCAACACTGTGTTGAATGAAACTGGAGAGAGCAGACCTTCTTTGCTCCTAATTTTGGAGGGAGAGAATTCAGTGATTCGGTTTGTATGGTGTTGGGGCTAACTGCTACTTCCTGTAGCTGAGGCAATGTAATAGCCTTCCACAAATGACTACAGCCACAATGATGTGACAGTCACTTGCTCTAAGTAATTGGTGTGAGGTTTTGTGAGACAAAGCAAACCTGAGAGTAAGTGTACAAGTAGCTCACTTATAGTTTCCACTACATGTATCAAATTGTTGCCAGGATCCTGTTGGCCTCATTTTAGATATTTGGAAGTTGTTGGCAGAAGGCATCTTGCTTATTTTCTCTTAGATGCTGAGGTAATTTTTTTAAAAAGTAATCTGGAATCACATACCTTAAATGTGAACTTTAGAGGGGAAACATCTTTTTTTCTTCAGGAATGATCCCTACAGCAACATTTTAGAACATATTCTGGATTTTGTACCAACTCTTTCTGAATGCCCATTGGTTGAATGGATGCCAGCCATACAGACAAATACATGTTATTTCCAAAATACCGAGCATGTTGGACTAACTCTAGACCAAAAGCTGCCTAAAATTTATACTTGTGCTTGGTCAGCTTTATATTATGTCAGCCTTCTTGGAGGAGGGACATTGACCCTCAGTGACTACTGTATAGCAAATACATTATTATAGGTAAAGAGCCCTGCAGTTCACCTCTTCCTTTGCATATGTGCTAGTTGCTAATGGGGGAAACCTTTATTCCTTCCTGTGCCTTGGCCGGAGCATCTTAATGGACCTTAGTAAAATGATTGTGTTCTGTGCTCAGGATATTTCTAGTGGGAGTCTTATACCTCATTTTCTAATGAAAAAAAAAGTATTTTGTTTCCTTTGTTCTTATGACATAATATATCTTTATGGGTTAAAACAGTAAAAGATACAGAAAAGCACAGGTAAAACAATTCATACATAATCCTTTTGGTTAGATTAAATTAACATTTTGATGCATACCCCTTCTAAGCTGTTTTCTTTACACATGGGTTTATACTATTTATTCTGTTTTGTAACCTTTCTATTTCACCAGGAACAGCTTTGCTGTTATGTAATTGTGTGCAGTGTTTTTAACAGCTGTGTAATAGTCTGTTTTAAACCAACCCTATTTTGGATATTTGATCCTTTTCACTTCTTCACTGTTATACATGGTCATGCAGTATGGATTCTTGTGATTAAATATTTATATACATTCTTATGATTTTCTTTGGGTAAATTCCCGGAAGTGGAATTGCTGAGTTTTCCAAAAAGCTGCAGGATATGGTGAATTTTTCCATCCTGAGGTGTGTTAAAACATTTTACTCTTACTTTCAAGTATGAGTTTGAGAGGTCAGGGTGGGGGGCATTTTAATTTTGGCTTAAATTGGTTACAGGCTTGTGTAACTTGAATGTGGGCCAGTTTTATTTGGAGAGATTGTTTACCACTCCTTACCTGGTATCTGTGCCTCTGAGTTGGCCTGCATCATAACTCCAATTTTACTTTAAACATTTTGCATGCTCTTTGTTCTATATTGTCTATGTCCAAGCATGTAGAGCTCAAGCTTGCAGCTTTAAGTCTCACTTTTTGGGAATTTCTTTTCAGATCATAAAACAGAAAATCGAAAACATGAAAGTAGACAGGACTAAACTGAAAAAGACACCTACTGAGGCTGTAAGTATCCAAAAGTTTGCCTGTTTTTTCATTTCAGAAAAAAATCTTTGCCGTCAGTGCACTCATATTGATCTTACAAATATATCATCACTTATATACACACAGTGCAGTAAAATAGCAACTTGTCTTGAAACAGTCAAATTTTCTTTTGAACTTCCCTTGGTTAAAAAGGTGAATAAGCTAGTGATCAATGGAGAGTGAGCACTAAACAGTTTATAGCTATATGTACCTGAAGTAGGCTGTCTGGCTGCTGTTTCTGTGCATTGAAAGGCAGCATGGTATAATGGAAAGAGCAAGTATGGATTCAAATTCTGTCTGTATTTGCGGGATCTTTCTCAATTTTGTTATCTAGAAAATTAAAGTGGTAACACCTTTCTCACTAGATTTCTTGTGAGGCCAGTGTTTTAGCTTTCTTTATTACTGATTCTTAATCATACAGTTCAGCTTAACCTATATTAACCTGTGTATTGGGTGGCCATGTCAGTTGATCCTCTGTCAGCAGTAGAAATCCCAGCTTCTGTCCAATATTCTATTGGCCTGCTTAAACTGCATTCTGAAATAAAGACAGTATTGTATTGTTATGACACTCCCATAGACCCCATGTGCTGTAGTTCAAGGAGCACAAGCTTTGGAATTAGATATGGGTTTGAATCTTACTAGATTTTTGTGTCTGAGAGTTAACTTGCCTGGTTTCCACAGCTGTAAAATGGGGTTGAAAATTCCTCCCTCCTTGATGTGAGGCAGCTGCTCAGCAAAGTATCTGGCACATAATTAGTTGGTTCATTTTCTAAATACAGGCCACTTGGTTTTTTAAAAACTGTAACTACCTGGCAAGTATCACCCAAGGGTATCACAATTGATATTTATTCCAGTATTGCATGGGCAGTTCTCCTGCCCTTTTCATTCAGTGTTATACTAATGAGTATGAGAAGTGCTGTCTTCGTACATCCTCTCCAGCATTGCAGATTATCTTTTAAATTTTTGTTAATAGGTGGAGAAAAAATATTTCACTGTTCTGATTTGCATGCATTAATACATATATTTCCACATTTATTGGCCTTATATTAGTTGTCTGCTCATGCTGTTTTATTTTGTATTTGACGTTGTAACGTCAGTTTCTTATTGAATACGCCATACATATTGAGTATATTCATTTTACATACCTGTTCATTTCCTTTTCATTTTGTTTTTGATATGTTTTGGCATCTAGAATTTTTGACAGTTAACATACTCAAATTTTTCGGAAACTGAAGAGCAAAAAGAAAACTTGCCTGAAGTCATTTAACTTCCAGGATAATTCAACCTTGTAGATAATCAGAGAAATTCAATTTCTTTTTCTTTTACCTAGTAGATTGTTATAGATTTGTTGTTGGAGTCACACTTATGTACAGATTCCTGGCTTATTTCAGTTAGCATAATGCCCTCAAGGTTCATGCATATTGTCACAAATGACAAGATTTCATTCTTTTTTTATGGCTGAATAGTATTCCATTGTATATATGTACCACATCTTCTTATCCATTCATCGATGGACACTTGGGTGTTTCCATATATTGGCTATTATAAATAATGCTGCAATGAGCATGGGGGTTCATATATCCTTTCAAGTTAGTGTTTTCATTTTCTTTAGATGAATACCCAGAAGTGGAATTGCTAGATCATATGGTAGTTCTGTTTTTAATTTTTTGAGGAGCCTTCATACTGTTTTCCATAGTGACTGCACAAGAAAGATATTTATTGATCACTTTATGTATCGGCAGCTGTGCAGAGGATTTTTTTCCTAGATTTGACATCTTTATTGGAGCAAATCAATATAAACCATGGCAGTTGGTATGCAGCCATTGAACTGGCAAGTGCTTTGTTTTGCACTACCATGAGTAAGGAAAATCACACTCAGTTTGCATTTATGCAGCAGGGACAAGACGGTAAAGATATACTTTTGTCCCTGGTGCCTTCTGCAGACTACAAAGTCCATAGGGATCTTGATACTCCTGATAAAACAACGCGGTGCTGGTACGTTAAATTGATGCTGTTATGCTAACTGGGGCTTGTGAACAGAAAGCACAAACACTTTAGATGCCTTAGACATGTGTGCCAGAGAGTGCCCTTTGAAGGTTGAGGGCCTGCCACGTCAGGAAATTTTCTAGGGGTTCAGAGCTCTGGGAAGTGTCAAAATTTCCCTTCTAAAGTGAGAGACATGTTTTTGCACCTTGTACCACACACCATGAAGAAAGAGGAACAGTGTATGGGGTGCCTCTTTGGATTTTGGAGCCAGCATGTATTACATTTAGGCATGCTGTTTTGATCCACTTACTGGATAACTTCTAAAGTGATAGTAGTGTTTGGATCTAGAGAAGACTGCAGAAGGTTCAGGCTATGATGTAAGCTGCCCTACTCCGTGGACATTATGGCCTAGTAGATCCAGGTGTCTGACTTAAGTGTCAGCCAAAGATGCTGTGGGATGCCTCTGGCAAGCCCCAATAGGAGAATCACAGCTTAAGACCTAGGGGGTAGAGTTTGGCCGTGCTATTCTCTGCCAACAGCTATTCTGACATTCAGAAAAGCAGCTTCTGGCTTGCTACTGGACCTTGATAAAGACTGAATGCCTGATGATGAGATACCAAATGATTACAGGACCCAAATGTTTGTCATGAACTGGGTGTTATCTAACCCACAGAATCATAAAATTGGATCTGCATCGTTGCAGTCCATTAGAAATTGAAGTGGTATATTTGATAGTAGGCCCAGGTAGGTCCAGAAGGCACAAGTGAACTGCATGAGCAGGTGGTTCACACTCCTTTGTTATCTGTTTCTACTACTTCACTACCTCTCCCTCAACCTGTATGACTTCAAGGAGAGGAAGAAAAAGTGCAGGTCTGGTTTGTTGAAGGGTTTTATGCCAAGAATTTTGCATGCCTTTAATTACCACAGAAATTTGAGATAGATCTTAATAATGCTTACTTTAGAGAGAGAAAAGTTTTCAGACTTAGCTTTAAAAAAAATTTGCCCTTAAGCCCCTATTGTTCCACGTTGCATTTTGGCTGCTGAAAATGCCCCTAGTTTAAATCTCACAACATTGCTGGGTAAATAGGTCACGTTAAGTTCATTTTGCAGTAGAGGATACTGAATTTCAAAGAGGTAGCTTACCAACTACCTAATTCTAAAGTCCATGCTCTTTGTAATAGTAAGCTGTCTTTCAGTATTTAAGCTCCTATTATGTGAGATAAGTGCTTTATGCAAACACTTGAGCTTCACATTTCCAAGGTGGTTCTTAGGTCTTTTTTCTGGTAAGAAAACTGTGGCTAAGAGGTTGGATTTGCTCATGATCAAACAACTTTGTAAACATCAAGCGAAAAACTGAACCCAGATTTGGTTGGTTCCAAATCTAGGCCCATTCCTAGGATACCATACTGCTTTACAGAGTCAAAGAGCAAGTGTAATCACTTCCAGCTGCCATCCATTAGTAGCAGCATCTCTGTCCCAGTCTCTATCCCCCCCGCCACCAGCTCCACTTTTGGAAACTTACTGTGAACTCTGAATCCACACCTTGTTACCTGACAAACAGGCCCTTTCATCAGTAAAACAGAGCAGGAATATATGGAAATGGAAACCCCAAGTAAGAATGGAGTCCTAGTTTTACACAGTTCAGAAATTCTTTGCCTCCTATAATTGGACGGTTTAATGTTGCAGAAAAATATAGCTAGTGCTAATCTTCACCTTTGTGAATTCACTAGGGCTCCTCAGTGTTCCTCTAATTGAACATTTCTTATCAGGCATTCTGTTTAACTTTCAGACTATGATACAGATTCCTTCATTTTGTTTTTATTGATATTTAGCTTGTTTCCTTTATTTCTGTTGTCTGTACACTTCCAAGTAGTTTGTCTCCATCTACAGGTTCATCCAGGTTTTAAAAAAATACACAGATGGATTGTTTCGTTATAAGATTTCTGTATTAATCTCAAGTGATCATCTGGCAAATTTCCACTTAAGTAGTGCGTTCTATCAAAAGTTAAATCATTGAGTGTGTTGACATAAGGGTTTTTTTTTCCTATTCTTCCTTGTTGTGTCTCCCTCATACTCCAAAACACCCTTTTGTGAATACCTGTTTGTTTTTCTCAGCCTGCAGACTGCAGAGCCTTAATAGACAAACTCAAAGTTTGTAATGATGAGCAGCTCCTCTTGGAACTGCAGCAGATCAAAACATGGAACATTGGAAAGGTATGTAAACCCATACTCCCAAAAGAGAAACCAAAATGAGGTAGCCTCATTCAGCAATTACTTAATAAGCATCTAGTGTGTGTCTGGCACAGCTCTAGACCAGTAATTTTTAGCCTGTGAATGGTTGCCAAGGAAATTTTGAAAGAAATGTAAAAGGAAAATTTTGCTAGCCAAGGATGAAGAATGTTTATACAGGTGATGATAAAGAATCTCAACCACAAAATTCCTTTAGTTTGACTGACAGTATGAGTTTGAGATAGTCTCAGGATTTTTACTCTTAGCTTAAAAGACTCTTCTTTAGATAACTCTAAAAATGAGCACTTCAGATAAAGTGGATTCTGGCAGGGAAAGTCCTTGTGTTTTTAGACCTCAGAGGTAGCCAGAATTCTCCTTTTGAAGACCTAGCTGTAGGGGTTTTGTGGTGTCTCCTGGTGTTAGCACATGTATGTTTTGTGTTTTTTGTTTTTTGTGGTACGCGGGCCTCTCACTGTTGTGGCCTCTCACATTGCGGAGCACAGGCTCCGGACACGCAGGCTCAGCGGCCATGGCTCACGGGCCCAGCCGCTCTGCAGCATGTGGGATCCTCCCGGACCGGGGCACGAACCCGTGTCCCCTGCACCGGCAGGCGGACTCTCAACCACTGCACCACCAGGGAAGCCCTACCTTATTCTTATATCTTCCTCTTTCTCCTCCCCTCTCCAGTGCGAGTTATATCACTGGGTGGATCTGTTGGACCGCTTTGATGGAATTCTGGCAGACGCTGGACAGACAGTGGAGAATATGTCATGGATGCTCGTGTGTGATAGGCCAGAAAGAGAACAACTGAAGATGCTTCTCTTGGCTGTGTTGAACTTCACAGCCTTGCTCATTGAGTACAGCTTTTCCCGGCATCTGTATAGTTCCATAGAGGTAGGAGAGGTTCAAGCCTATGTGATCTGTTCTTAACTAGAATTGTTCACGTCCAGAATAAGGAAATTGTTCTTTCTTTCTGATGAGTCTTTCTTTTTCATTATGGAGTTCTGGGGTTTTCAATGTCAAAGACAATGGTAGGATGTTTCTTGGCTAAAGATACCCTTCATAGGGTTGATGGGAAGGTTCTTTACTGTCACCTTCACCTTGCCTTTTAAGATTTAAGGAATTAATGAGAATGTAATATATGTATTGATGTATTCTTGGGAATTTACAGGAATTGATCTTGGTCCCAGGTTATCAGAGCAGCCCCAAATTACTTTTAAAATATTAGACATAATTTGATTTCCTTGACACATTACTGCACTTATTGCTTTTCTAAGTTTTAGTGTGCTGCTTTTTAATTTCTTCTCCCCCTCCCCAAAATGTATATTAATAGCATGCTATGTATTCTTTTTTTTTTAACATCTTTATTGGGGTATAATTGTTCTACAATGGTGTGTTAGTTTCTGCTTTATAACAAAGTGAATCAGTTATACATACACATACGTTCCCACATCTCTTCCCTCCTGTGTCTCCCTCCCTCCCACCCTCCCTATCCCACCCCTCCAGGCAGTCACAAAGCACCGAGCTGATCTCCCTGCGCTATGCGGCTGCTTCCCACTAGCTATCTACCTTACGTTTGGTAGTGTATATATGTCCATGCCTCTCTCTTGCTTCATGCTATGTATTCTTAAAAAGTAAAGTGGGCACGGGAATTAGTGAACTTTTGAATTGGTCAAAAATCAGTATAAGAAGAAACTCTCTTCCTTTAGCCTAACTTTAGAGTTTTTATCACTTGATTTACTGCCCTGTTGTTATGTGTTACTTTTCCTAAGTCTTCATTAAAGAAACAGAATCAGAACAAACAGAAAGTAAATGGCTTAAGAAGAGAAGTGGAATAACTGAATTAAAGACCTAGTGCCTAAAGTTTTAAGTAGGGGATGGCTAAGCAGTCTGTTGAAGATGAAATAGATAAGCTGCAAAAGGAAATCCATAGCCTTCTGTGGATAATCAGCAACCAGAAATACTTTGGTTCATTTCCAGCTAAATTACATACTGATTTTAACACTAACCAAATGTTTCAATATATTGGTGAATTTTGATTGTATTAAAAAGCAAAAATAGTTACTCTTGGGTTATTGTTACATACACTGTATTGTAACAGTCATAGGTGCCACCAGCTGTTGTTATTTTTAGTTTCTATATGAAGAGCCCTGTGTTTTAATTAATTCTAATTTTGTATTTGTTGTAAAGGATACAGAAGGAGCATAAAATTATCTTAGTCTATACTTTTAGTCTAGTTGGAAGCTTAATGTTCTTGAGTTCTGCTATGTATTAGAATATATTACATTTGTCTCTTTTGTAATCTGTTTCTTCCTGTGGAGACACCTATGTAATTTTGAACTGTTCACATTTTTTTAACTTAAATTGGACTTTCTGGCTTGCTGCCAGATTGTAAGCTGCTTGGGCATAAGGTTACATGTTGTAGGTGCTCAAATATTTATAAATTTTTTTTGTATTGTTAAACTTCTTGATAGCTTTATAAATCCATGGCATTTCAAGTTTTCAAGGTCTTGTATGCCTGATACCATGAACTTGCCCCCCCCCATTTTTGTCCCCTGTAGCATTTGACAACTTTATTGGCTTCTTCTGATATGCAAGTGGTGCTGGCAGTCCTCAACCTTCTGTACGTATTTAGCAAAAGATCAAATTATATCACACGCCTTGGATCTGACAAGAGAACCCCACTGCTAACCCGGCTGCAGCATTTGGCAGAGGTGAGTCATGGGTGAAGAGTTGGAAGGACACAGAAGTTGGACCCTGTTATTCCTTTTCACAGGTGTTTCTTGCAGTGTCAAAATGAATAGGAATCCGTAAGTTAACTTTACTGGCCTAATTGAGTAGAACTATTGGGGCCCATTTAACTAAGTTACCCCCAAATCCTAGGAAGTATTCTCAATTTTATGAAGTAATTTTGAGGGATTTCATGAATCTCTGCTCACAAAGAGAATCTCTCTTTGTTCAAAAATGGCCCCTTCTCTTCTGGAAAGAAAGTTTAGAATCCAATTCTACTTGGAGGGAAATATTAGCTGCAATAAAAGATCTGGATTTTGAGTCCTGGCCTACCTTATTAGCTCTGATAGCAGTTTTCTCATCCGAGAATTTAGTTATATCTACCTTAAGAGTATTTTCAGAATAAAATAAAATGTAGGGTTCTTAGTGCTGTGCTCAGTAATTGGTCTGTGGTGGTAATGATTGTTAATTGAAGGCAAAAAAGCTCATGTTAAATTCAGCTTAGTCAAACTATTGTCCAGTGTTTGTAGAGGCAAACTGATAATGCATACTCAGGTTTGAGAGAGGTAGCCATTGCTAGAAAGCTTTCTTGGAAGAAAGTTGGTAGGGCTAACTTTTTAAAAGCTGAATAATAAATGGTTACCTCACAAGTCATACAACTCAAGTTTCAGGCTATTTTTAGGTGCATGGTACTTTAAAATCATTTTTGTGTGATTATAAGTGTAACATGTATTGCAAAAATTCTAGGATGTATAGGAAAGTATAAAGAGAATGTTAATCACCTGTTATTCATCCAGATGGAGCCTCCCTTAAAATTTGAGCATATTTTCTTGGATTTGCAAATACAAGATTTTTTTTTTTTTTTTTTCGGTACGCGGGCCTCTCACTGCTGTGGCCTCTCCCGTTGCGGAGCACAGGCTCCGGACGCGCAGGCTCAGCGGCCATGGTTCACGGGCCCAGCCGCTCCGCGGCATGTGGGATCTTCCCGGATCGGGGCACGAACCCGTGTCCCCTGCATCGGCAGGCGGACTCTCAACCACTGTGCCACCAGGGAAGCCCCCAAGATTATTTTTAACCATTTTCTCATGATAGTTTTTTAGTGACTCAGTTAACCCAGTGATGTGAGCCAGTTGTGACTATGCACAGATATTAGTGAACTGCAAATATAGCAGAAGTTCTCCAGGAAGACTTGAATCAGTTAAAAGCCAGTTTGGTTGATTTTTGTGAGGGTCTGGGACACTGGCTCTCAAACTCGAGCATGCATGAGAAAGAGTCGATTTATTAAAGCATAGATTAGTCTCCCTCCCCTGTCTGCTCATACCCCTTTACCTCAATTCCTGCAACCCCCATTTCTGATTCAGTAGGCCTAGGGCAGAGCCCAGTAATGTGCATTGCTAATAAGTTTCCAGGGGATGTTGAGGCTGCTGGTCCAGAGATCATACTTTGAGAACCATTGGTTTAATCTATCCTATTGGGCAAAGTTACAAAATCTTACCAGATTCTTATAGTTCCATCTCAAAGGCATCAAGACCTTTTCCCTGATATCTGAATACATACCCATTCTTGAGCAAATCCCATCTAGTGAGATGGTGTCAAATATGACATGGTTGATATAAATGTTATTTATTGGGTGTCTACTTAATTGCCAGGATCATATGGTAACTGTGGAGTAGGTGAGGACGATGAGATTCAGAAGTTATATTATTTTTAGGAAAAGCCCATGGGCTTTTAGCCCCGATAAAGTGTAAAATGTGATAACTGCTGTTTGTAGAGTTGATTAAGCATGGTTTATGTTCCAAACCTGGGTGTCAGCCTGAGACCCAGCTCCTTGAATCCACACCCAACTCTTCCACTTGATAACATTCAAGAAGTATATGGCTAATCCTGTGCTGGATATAGTATAAAACATGTTCTTTTCTTTAAAAAGCTCACATAGTAGTTGAGAAAGTGATATAGGGGCATACTTAAAAGGACAACTAGTTATTCTTAGTACTAACTAATAAGTACCCTTGAATCTTAAACATTCCATAGGTTTATCTTGTTGGCTGCAAAACAAACATAAAAATATGTGCTTAATATTTAAAAATTTTGGAAATGTACAGAAGAAAATTTATCATAATTATGTGTCTACTCTTCACATTTTGGTACATTTTCTTAGTCTTTATGCATATTTACATAGCTGAATGCATATAGTATATGTAACTTGATATCCTACTTTATTTACTTAACATACTAGCATCAGTGTTTTCCCATATTAACTTTACATAATTTTGTAAGAAATGTTTCTTTGTATTTAATAATGGTAATATTTCAGAAATGTCACAACATCACAGACTTTCATGAATCAAGTTTGGCTTGACATGGTCTTTTAAGGATCCCAGCTTACCACAACTTTCTTATCGTAGGCACTTGAGTTTTATTAGATTACAAAAGATAGATTTAGTGGTGATAGTAATAGTTGAACTATTCTAAAAAACAATTAGTTGTGACAACAGAAGAAACAAAAGGAAAATAATTGTGAAGATACATAGCCTTTCGAGCTTATTCTGCCTTGCAAATTCAGATCCTTGGTTTGACTTACCTGTCACCCCTATGTGGCATCAAGTATTTATATATCCCTTGTCCTCACAGTTTTCAGCAAATTCCATGTTTCTTCACTGGAAGTCCTGGGAATAGCCAAGAAAATATTGAAAATGAAATGAGGAAGTACTCTTCCTATTGGGTATTAACTTTTTTTATAAAGCTAAAAGTAATTAAAATAGTGTGGTAATAACAGTGGAAAATTTCCAGAAATGGATCCAATGTGTAAGAATCACTAAGCTTAATCATTTTTAGCTTTTGATACAAAGTGAGAGATGTGCAATTAACTGTTCCTTTTACTTGAATACTTAGAGGCCCTTGTAAGTTTATTAATTGGCCTAATTTCAGTATTATTGTGTCTCAGGGAACAGAGAGGCCTGAGGAGAGGGAGAGATATGGTAGAACAGCCAGTCAGTGGAGCAGTCAGAACACATTTTTTTTTCCATTAAATTTGCCATCTTGTATGGGCATGGTTCATGGCACCCCAAAATAATGACAATAGTAATAACAATGATCACTGATCACAGATCATCATAACAAATATAATAATGATGAAAAGGTTTGAAATATTGCAAGAATTACCAAAATGTGACACAGTGACATGAAGTGAGCAAATGCTGTTGGAAAAATGAAAAAACCAGTAGACTTGGTCAATGCAGGGTTGCCACAAACCTTCAGTTAAAAAAGCAGTATCTGCAAAGCACAGTAAAATAAGGTATGCCCCTGTGCATAGGCTCAATTTTGAGGTAAAGATCAGAGAAATCAAGTAACTTGTTCTGGGCGTTATTGAAGATGAACAGAATAGCTGTCTTAAATCTTTCCCTTTTCACTGGTTCCTCCTATATGTATATTTTAAAAGAACAAGCTTGAGAGAGCAAGAACATACTTTTTTTTTGGTCAGTGTAGCTAAAGGTTTGTCTATTTTTGTTGATATCTTCAAAGAAACAAATTTGGTTTAGCTGATTCTGTTTTTCTATTTTGTTTCATTTATCTCTGCTCCAGTTTTACTGTTTCCTTCTTTATGTTTGCTTTGGGTTTAGTTTGCTGCTGTTTTTCTAGTTCCCTAAAGTAGACTGTTAGGTTACTGATTTGAGATCTTTCTTTTTTAAATGTAGGCAATTAACAGCTGTAAATTTTCCTTTAAGCACTGCTTTATCCCATAAATGTATCCCATGAGTTTTGATATGAAGTGTTTTCATTTTCATTCATCTTAAGAAATTTTCTAATTTCCCTTTTGATTTCTTCTTTTACCCATTGGTTGTTAACAGTATATTGTTTAATTTCCATGTGTTCGTGAATTTTCCAGATTTCCTTCTGTTACGGATTTCTAATTTCTTTCTGTTGTTGGATATGATACTTTGTATGATTTTATTCTTTTTTAGAAGTTTCTTAAAGTTTGTTTTGTGGCCTAACATATGGTCTATATGGGAGACTGTTTTGTATGTACTTGAGAAGAATGTATATTCTGTTGTGGGGTGGATTGTTCTATATATATGTATATATCTGTTAGGTCTAGTTGATTTAATGTTCAAGTCTTAGTTTTCTTGTTTTTTGTCTAGTTATTAATGTTTTCCCTGTGTATTACAACTGACATCTTCATTAATGAAAAGTTAGTTCAAATTAATACCAACTTAGTTTTAAGAGTAGACAAAAACTTTCCTCCTATATAGCACTTTCCTCCCACTGTATGTTGTTGCCACAAATTACATCTTTATATATTGTGTGCCCATTCAACATAGATGTAGAATTTACTTTTTTATGTAGTTGTCTTTTAAAACACTCAGAAAAAAAGGAGTTACAAACCAAAAATACATTAATAATGCCTTTTATATTTACCTATGAAATTAACTTACTGGTGTTCTGAATTTCTTCATATGGAGTCAGGTTACTGTGGCGTGTCCTTTCATTTCAGCCTGAAGGACTCCCGTTTAGCGTTTCTTATAGGCAGGTCTACTAGCAACAAGTTCTTTCAGCTTTTATCTGAGAAAGTGTTAATTTCTCCTACATTTATGAAAGATAACTGTGCCAGATATAGAATCTGATTGGCAGTTATTTTCTTTTAGCACTTTGAATATGTCTTCCCACTGCATTCTGGCCTCCATCGTTTCTGATGAAAAATCAGCTGTGAGGATCCCTTGTACATAACAAGTCACATTTCTCCTTCTGCTTTCAAGATTATTCTCGCTATCTTGGCCTTTGACGATTTGATTATAATGTGTCTTTCTGTGGATCTGTGTTGTTTTATCTTGTTGAATTTCATTGAGCTTCTTGGATTTATAGATTCATGTCTTTTGTCAAATTTGATGTTTTGGCCATTATTTCTTTAAATAATCTCTTTGCCCCTTTTTCTGTCTCTTCCCCTTGGACTCCCATTATGTATATGTTGGTATACTTGGTGTAGTCC